TGTTGTGGAATTGAAGAGTTGGCTTTATATGTAAAGAGAGGTTTGACGATCTATTTTCCTACCAAGAATAGGAGACTTCTATTCTATCCTTGTCAATTTTTATTTATTACAAGTACCTTAAATAGTAGTTGGAATGATTGGATTCTTTTGTTTTGATTTACTGTTACGCTTGTTTTTTGAGTAATATAGATGATTTTATCTTGATTACAATTTTGAGTAATAACAGTAGTCGATTATGAAATGTTTCTTTTAAGGGATTTGAATGTTAGCAGCTTTACAATTGCATGCTTTAGGTTAATCCAACTTTGGCTGAAGAGTCAAATGCAGGCGTCTTTTTCTTCAACTCATAGAAGCTGCCAAGTTCAAAGAATGAAAGGGATTCTTCATCTTGTTTCACTCGTTCTTATGTTGTATTGACTTTCGAAGTGGAGACAGAGACGGTTTTATTCTCTGCGAATTTCAGTTTTAAAATTCCTTCAATGATTATCCAAACATGGAAAATTGTAATTTCCGTTATTTCCTAAATTCTATATACAAGATATCTAAACACTGAAATTTGGAATTGACGTAATTTCAAACTCCGTCATTTACAAATTCTATGAAAATTAGAATTCATTCATCCAAACGCACCATTAAAGTAATTGAGGTCGTGTTTGGTATCCTATTTAAGTAGGGAATTCAAAAGCTTTGTTTTTTCTCAAAAAAACAAGAAGTTCTAAAATTCATTTTTTTAAACTTCAATTAAAACAGATTTTTTGAGTTTCGTACTCAAATTCTGTTTTTAAGTTTAAAAAGTTGGATAGAATACCAAACATGCTGAATTTCTATTATTTTTATCGGGAGTAATATAAACATAGATAGTTTACGCATGATAAAATAATACACATCTGGTTAAAGTTCATGAAAAGAAACACATAATAATGCATAACAAAGTAATAACAGACTTTTTGATTCTTTAGCATTTAACAGGTATCAAAATATTAAGTTTTAGCATAACTATATACATACAAAATACCCTAAAATATCAAAGTAAAAGGAAAAATAAAAAACACAAATACACTAGCTATTGGTTGATGAAGGCCTTGATGTGAGAGATTAAATCTTGGGTCCGGGAATAGGAGAGCTGAGAGTTCTGCATAACTTGGAAGGCATGTCCAACTCCTTTGTACATTGTTGTCTCCACCCTTTTCCCCAAGCTACTCAAGGCATTGCAGACCTCCAAATTCCGATCCTTCAATATATCCAGTTCTGATATGCACACCATTATGGCCGGGAGTCTTAAATCGCGCAGCTTGGTCATGCCGTTTGCCAGAGGGTTGCACCATGGATGGTCTTTGTTGGCCCCTAACGGCAGAGCCAATCGCCAATACACGTCGGAATTCGACAGAGTTAGTGCAGAGGTTGGTGGCTGAGTTGCATATTTCTCGGACCAAGTACGAGCCTCTCCTCCAAAGAAAGGTTGGATCAAGATGGTGCCCTTGAGACTCAAAGGTCTTAAACTGGAGGGGTCACGGGAGACTAATTGTGTGGTGACATTGTAGGCTATGTTAGCCCCTGCACTGTCACCAACTATGAACAAGCTTGACAAGCTGCACCTACTTAACCACCATCTTTGCTCACTAGGCTCACTCAGAGCTTGTTGTTTCACCCACATAAGAGTTTTGAATCCGTCGTCATAAGCAGCAGGGAGACGGTTTTCTGGGGCTAAACGGTAATTCACAGAGATGATGACACAACTTGCTTTGCAAGCAAGGTTGGCCAAGAAGTCATGGTAACAGCTCCAAGCAGCAGAGCCAACACAGAATCCACCACCGTGAAAGTAGACAAGCACGGGGAGGTTTCCGGGGTGGCTTGGAACGTAAATACGTGCCCATAAGTTGGTAAATTTGTCAATGACAACGTCTTTGGCTGTGACACCATGTGGTAGTGCCAGAGTGCTTGGGACAGTGGGGATAATTGGAGGCCTTTCGATGTTTCCGTCTTTGTGAACTCTGAGGAAACCTTCAATTTCTTCAAGAACAACTCCATGTTGGTTAGGAGGGTTCTTAATGGCTTGGAGGTTAAGCCTTGGATCAAGAGAAATGGTTGACATTCTTCTAAATTTCATGCAATGTATGGAATAGTAGAATATAGTTCTGTGGGCTTGTGGCCTCTGTGGTGTGGATGTGATTGTGATTTGCCTTGCAAGCTCTTTATATAGAAAATGAGAACATTATGGCCAAAGAGAGAGGCTCTAGTTCATTGTGGAAGAAAGCTTCCCTTTCTTTTTATCTGACAAGTGGCATCTGAACTCAGCATATGCTGTCATGCAGCAACTTGTCTAAAACATCTCCTGGTCACCCCTCACAATCAATAATTTAGTTCAAGCAGTGAGAAGATAACGAAATTGAAGTCAACACATAGAACTTATCACGAGGGCTGCTCATCCCCTCCTAGTTTGTCCTTTCCAAATATTCTGTTGGCATTTTCTTCTTGTTGATTTGATTGAAGCATTATCGTTTTCCTCAGTAAATTTTCTTTTCTTGAAACATTATCTATAAATCGAAGCAATATTCATCTCACAGACATGATCAGCAGAAACAACAAATTTAAGTCTAATGCAGCAAGTGATGTGTAAGGTTATGCAAAGCATTATGACTAACCCTCTTCTGAAAATCTCTGGTGGTTTGCTAGTGGAGAGTTGCCTGCCGACAGTGCTTTTTGATTCTGGATTAATGAATATTCTTAAAACTCTAAGGACTTGCAAATGGACAGTCAACTTTATTCTTCAGATATTTTATTATCTTCTCAGTTGCTTTTTGACTCTTTATATTCAAATTCTCTACTGGGATTAGCAGAAAAAACAAAAACATCTGAGACTGAATAATTAACAATCCTAAGACTGATGAGATTTCATGCAATTAATCACTGATTACGGAGCTGATGAAGTTCTTGTTTCTCCCCTAATAAGGATTATGGTTTAGATATGAAATTTTGGACTATCTGTTGTTTTCTGCAGCCACAGAACTAGAACACGTACATTTGTACCTGTCCTGCACAAGTTGTCCCAAAAAAGGAAAAAACCAAAAAGGAGTAAGGAGAACAAAAATGGAAGTAGATTCTCGAAATTAGATTTTGTTCTTTGTGTTGTACTTGCCTTTGGAATATTTGCCTTCCGTCCATCTTTTGGCACGTCATTATTCTTCAACAAAGGTTTCATTAGTATTATTAGACTTTCACATAAAGCCTATCTCATGCATGATGCTATCCAATGAGATATCTGCGGCAGATTATTTAGGACTGGTTCACTGCAGATTAGATAAAACTAAACTAGATCATGAAACGTGTCTTAAATATCTTCAGAAGATTATGTACCACCAAATTCAACCTTGATAGATTTACTGAAACCTGAATATCTTCCAATCCACTGAACTGAGCCATATATCAAGATACCTCAGCAAATCCAATCCTATATGCATATATATATCAGAAGACTAGTCGTATTCTCCTCACTGTTCATAAGTCACATGCATTATGGAGGTAAAAGTTTTTGATTCTTTCATCCTCGAATCCCAAACAGAAAGAAAGTCTTTCAATCCCCATGGATTTGCAAATGGGGTTGCCCACAATACAGCCAAAGCCATCTTTATCTTTGAATTATTCTCTCTTTTTCTCCTCCTTTTTGACTACTCCACCATGCATGAGGGTACAAGGGGCTGGATACTGATAAATTCTATGTCATGGGCTCTCATTAGACCAAATGCTTTCAACATGATAATTCTCATCTCATGACTGTCAATGCCACATTTGGCTATGATGCATCATGAGTACCAAAAATCAACCCCAACTGTCTCACCATCGGTGCTTTAAGTTAATATACGAATGCGTTTCTCTCTAACTAGAAAGCAAAGCAACGGATGCATAGGGATGGGAATAAAAATTGGGCTAGTGCCTTCATTTTAGCATAAAATGTTGATGTGATGTGTACAATATAGGACAAAGAACACTTATGGAATCGTGCTAATCGATATTTTATCGTACCATTGACTTTATATAAAGTACGGATTATCAACTCATAAGAAAAGTACATGTTAATTGTTTTAGAAAATATCGACTTACAGAGTTATTTATTGATATGGAATAGCTCTTCTTAATATATTGATTGTACATTATATTGGAAAATGGTAAACACAATCTTCTACCATGGTTTACTAAATTTTTTATAGGATTTTTAATGGAAGGCACATAAATTTCTACCGGAAAACAGATGAGAAACGCTTTGGAATCGGAAAAATTCAGCCAAGTCATGTCTTAAATGACGGTTTTTATTATTTTCTAATGGTTTTTACACCTTTTGCGACGATATTTAACAGTTTTTCTTGGCAGAATTTAGCTTTTGCAGCGGTAACAACCGCCACTAAAAGTTGCTAGCTTGTTTGTTTGGTTGATGAAAGATAATGAAGCCACCAGATAGATCCGATGCAAGATAACTTTTTTGGGGGTGGTGGGGGGGAGAAGAGAAGAGGGCATCCCGAGACAGAATAAAGACCAGCGAAGGAGGGGGCTGCGACGCCCATTGATCAATGTGATGGGACCAGCGGTGGCCTAACAATTGCCTTCAAAGGAGCTATGTAAATGACCTACAGTCAAGTCATCAATGCAGAAACAGTACACTTCAGTGTATACAGCAGCATTCAAAACATGTAATGGAACACAAAGATCATACACCAAATGTTTCACCCGCACAATAAGGAACCTCAAGTGCAAAATCAAAATTTTATACGTAACTACAGAGCATGCTATTTGATGACAATCAGAAACAAATCACAGCAGAGTTGTATGGTATGAAAACTCACAATTAATTCAGTCTATAAATTTGATAAAATGTGAAAGCATAATGAGTGCCAAGCTTGCACTTATGTAGGCTGCATCAGAAACCAACAAAAAGGTATCAATTGAGCCACAAGATCTGTACAACTGCAAACCACATAAGCCATAAATCAGTCAACAAATATTTCCGTTTTTCTAACTTCTTCACTAGCATTTCGTACCAGTTCAGCATAAATCAACCTGAATGAGAATGGATATCTTTCCATGTTTTTTAGAACCTTAACTTCTAATGGGCACGATGATCGCACCAACGTCTCTAGCTCATTCTGTTCCTCATCTCAAACAACAATATTTTCAATTTCTGAAGAGTGGGCTACCATGTCTATTACCTGACGGAACAGCAAAAGCAGCATCGGTGAAATCAAATCAAATGATAATTATTAAAAAGAAACTCTATATTACAAGAAATACAGAGACATATTTCGAGGCTATGCGTAGGATTCTTTTCTGATAATGAGTTTGATATAGAAGAAATGAATGGGGTGTAACTGGCAGGAAAATAAATTAAAAAATTAAGATAAAATAGTTCACAAAAACAATAACCTCAGTCTCATTCATGTGGCGTCTCAACATTTCATTCTATGTTTCAACACTTGAGTATTGAATATAAAAGAGCTTGCAATTCGACCAAGCTCTGTACAAAAAGTTGCCACTTTTCTCATCAAAGCGCATCATTTTTGCTTTGTCCATGGCACGTGCAGCATCTGCTATGAGAGCTCTTTGCTTTAAACTCAAGGAAGGATCACCAACAACCTGCAAAATGCAGAAGAAAATATCAATAACCTGAAACAAGCAAAAGCAAATATCATATACATAAGCACCATTAAAGACAAATGAATTATACTTCGTGTCCTCCTTAGAATAAAGCCAGGCTGCTAGTCAAGAAAATGTTCAAGAAGGATCAACCAATAACCATATAGGTAAAGTCAAATCCACATAGAATACCTCATCCCACCCAATACCATACACCAAAGGATTCAGCCTCATTCTTATGAAAAGGTACGTATATCCAAGCCATTCACAAGCTTCCTTGACATTGGTGACAGTACCAAGTGCCACCTCTGCATAGAGAAAATTTCAAGAACAAGAAGGAAAAGTAATCTCAACATATCCTTTAAATTGTCTTTCAAGGAACGAATACCATTGCCTGATACCTTTCCTGAGTGATTCAACAAACTGGCAGAAAAAAAGTATCAATCAGTTAAATAATCATTACAAATTTATAAATAAACCCAATCCTAGATATGTATTTATAAAAAAACCCAAACACTATTTAAACATAGAAACACACCCAAAATCAATCTCAAAATCAACAATTGTATATTTTTTGGGTGTGTTTATAAATGGGTTTTGAGTGTGTGTAATGATGGGTTTTGGGTGTGTTTATAAAGTGTTTTGAGTGTTGGGTTTTTTTATAATTTCAGCCCCTATTTTGGGTGTTTTAGTGAAACTCCCAATAATCATTCTAATACATACGTTACACAAAGGAGAGCCCAAGGAAAAAGAAACCCTCTTGTAGCATATCTCATTCTGCAATTCAATATGGGCTGTAAAATTCTGCTCACTAATACCAATATATTGCTGTGCGAGGCGCACAGGGCGATAACTAGAATTAAAGCTGGATTCACTCTCAGAAACTGTAGCATCCTGGGTGTTTATAAAAGAATAATCCACATTAACAAATAAACAAAACAGACTTCAGAGTACGGCATTTAAAGGCCAATAAATACAGAAAAGATATCATCAGGTGACCAAAATACCTCTAAATAGTTCCGTGGATTGGCTGAAAGGCCTACAATGCATATCATTGTCAGTGTAGACTCCACCTGCCACACACATTAAAAAAAAAAAAAGAGAAAAAAAAAAAGAAGTAAACAAAAGGTTATAAGCAACTAAATTCTTTGCAACCAATCATAAACTACATAAGTAACATGTAAATTGTAACAGACATCTGATAAACATTTTTAAATATAAACATCCCGCTATCACATTAACCCTAATAAGAAACAGATAATACCTTTCCAACTTTCATGAGCATAAGTTGCAACTGTACAAATGTTCTCAACTAATTTAAATAGTGGGTTAGTTATTCAGCAGAAAGAAGCCAAGATCACTAATAATTCAGTAAAAGTTTACCTGGTGCAAAGATCAAGCAACTAGTGCCTCAATTACAAGGGCCTCCATCATCATTTAATAGATGCACTTAATCAATAATTAGGATCTTCACCAACATTGAAAGTGACATGTCACTGCTCTTGTGAGTAATGACATCCCATTTCTTAGGTGTGGCAACTATCATCTGAATAAGAAGAAAGTGAAGCCATTAAGGTTTTCATTTTCCTCTTTTGGGTAACAGTTAAAAGCACACGGAGCACACAGAATTTGATAAAAGTGACCTGAGTTTCTTCAAGTTCATTCTTAGAACCTTGCATCAGTAAGTTCTCTCAGAGTCATATTCAATGGAGATAAGCGATGGCTAAAAGTTGATGTAACTTCTGCAGCTAATGCCTGAAAAATACATGATAATAAGTAACAAGCCACCATTTCAATGGCTACTTTCCCACCCCACCCACTCAGAAAAAACAAAAAAAAAAAACAAAACAAAAGGAAGAGAGTTGTATAGGGTGGATACCTTCATTGGTGCAACATAAACTATCTTAAATTCATCTTTATGCAAGTAACCGTCTTTGAAGTGCTGTGCAATCTGCCACAGACAATGCTGACTCAGTATCTAAATCTCAGAATGGATGATATACTACCATACTGAATATTTTGAAAAACTAAATAGGTTGAATTCAACATGAAAAGTACTATTACATCACCATGACATAAAAGGAGTCGAACAACTAAAGCAGCCAAAAGCTTAGTTTCCTTGCTTTATTTTGCAAGCTGATATCTTTAACACACTAACCCTCCCAGAAAAATATATACAATACCAGCACATATGACATTACAGCCATTCCCATGCCATTTTAACTATGCAATTAACCCAGATTAACTCATACACAATACAAAAACAAATGTGTGAATTTGAGATCAAGCCAAAGTAGTAAGAGAAAAAGTATGATTACCAAAAATGAGAACAGAAACCCAAGAATAGCCAATCATTTGCATACCTCATGTGGAATAGAAATCATAGCTATGTTTGTTTTGCAAGCTCCTGTTGGAGCACAAACCTGCAAGTAAATGGAAATCACATTCAAGCATATCATATCAGCACTTTCACTGCGCAATGGTTTGGTATTCACATAATCAACATAATCAATAACTTACTAGTATATTTTCTTTAGTGTTATAAATAGTATGAAATATGCGGCTCTGAATACAGTTCAGAGAATTATATCCACAAAAAGCAGCTTGAGCGAATTCATCTAACTCCGTTATCCCAATCTCACAGCATAGGACAGTAAACAGAAATTGCAATAACAGAAATAGAGGTCAGTAGGTGATAAAAGAAAAAGCAAGCAAGGACAATCCTATTTGTTTAACCACCAGAAAACACCCAAATTATTATGGCTAGTTTATACACTGATAATGTTAATGATGGCAATGATAAACTTAGCAATTCCTATTGATCATGGAAAGAAAAAAAAAACATGTCTAGTATTTCAGATTTATGAGAGCAGCTAGTATCTAAAAAATATAGGAGATTCCCCCACTTGGGGTCCACTTGTGTGCATTTCCTATTAAGTCATCTCCAATTATCAAATCTAAGTAAGAATATTGAGAACCAGTAAATAACACTAAAATGATAAACATGAAGTAGAATGATGGAACTACAAATGAGTACCAGCTTTTCCCCAGGTTTTCATTTGTGCTGTTGGTGTTGGGGGAATGACCTCCTCATGCTTCCTCACAGTTCCATGACGAAGAGCACGAACTGATCAAGATTAAGGCCCTTCACCAAGCGCTAAGAGATTCCATATGTTTTTCTTTTATGAAGAAAGGGGTAAAACCCCCAGACACCACCAAACCCCAACGAAACATCAAGCAACAGAGCCCAAGCCAGCCAGGACTCTCCTCAAGCAGAAGCCCAGATCCAAGTTGTGACCCCAAGTAGCCAAACAATCAGCTACAGCATTCCTCTCTCTCTATATATGCTGAAGCTTAATCCTTCCAAACAAATTCATGAGCCTTTTACAGCTACTAACTGATTCTATATGTTTTTGATGATTTATGTGCCAAAAAAAGAGTGATTAATTAGTTTATTTAGTTTAATACTTTTGAAACTTCGAATTTAAACCGTATAGCCGCCCGGCTATACTTTTCAAATATTCTGCTCACAGGGTATAGCCGAACGGCTGTACTACCGCAGCGTATAGCCTCCTACAGCGTATAGCCGCCAGGCTATACTTTTCAAATATTAAATACTTACTATAGTATAGCCGCGCGGCCATACGTTTGGAACTTCCGGTCGCCTATACTGTAGAAATATTCTTCTTACAGTGTATAGCCGGGCGGCTAGACCGTTGAAACTTTCTATTTTAGCGTATAGCCGCACGGCTGTACCGTGACATGGTATGTTTTTGGCCTTTTCAGTTTTATGTTACTTTCATTTGTAATTATGTTTTTATTATTGTTTCTTTAGTGAAAAAATTAGTATTTAATATTTTAATTAACTTCATAAGTACTAATTATTTTTTTTCTTTAATAAAATATTTAAATAATAATTATTCACTAACTAAATAATAATTAAAACAGAAGTACTAATTAAAGTAATTAAAAAAGAGAAGGGTATTATGCTATTTACAGGTATAGCCGATCGGCTATACCTGTGAAACTTTCTATTTTAGAGGATAGCCGCTCGGCCATACGTTCGAAACTTTCTATTTAAAGATTATAACAGGGTATAGCCGACCGGCTAGACTCGTTTTTACTAATGTTTTAAAAAAATAGTATAGCCGCGCCCTCTAATTTTTATTTTTTTTAAAAGAAATCCGCACGGCTATAATCTTTAAATATATTATAATTATTCGCTAAATAAAAGAAAATTAAAAAAATAATTACTCATTAAAGTAATTAAAAATGCTAAAATATTACGTAAGAAAATCATTTTATGCTGTATACCCGCGGCTGCACCCTAAACCTAATTAGTTGGTATCATGGGTCGACCCATGGGCGTGACCCATTTGGCCCGTTCAGTAGATCCAATACGACGTCGTGGCTCAGAAGAAAAAGAATAAAGAAAACTCAAATAACCGAAGCTCCTGAAAGCCCTAAAACCCACCCTGAGATTCATAAAGCTTCTACTTCTCCGCGAACTCGAAGTTTCAAAACCTCACACTCACACTCTCTCAGCCACTTTGATTTTCAGTCGAGCAGTAGAAGAAGAAGAAGATGTCTCTACGAGTGTTGAATCCAAATGCGGAGGTGCTGAACAAATCGGCGGCTCTGCACATGAACATCAACGCAGCCAAGGGCTTGCAGGACGTCCTCAAAACCAACCTTGGCCCTAAGGGCACCATCAAAATGTACGGAAGTTCACTTTTTTTGTATTTTTTCTCATTTTTCTGTCTATTTTCTTCTTACGTTTTGCTATATAATGTTTGCAGGCTTGTTGGCGGAGCCGGTGACATCAAGCTCACTAAAGATGGCAACACTTTGCTTAAAGAAATGGTACAGTTCTTTATTCCAAACCCTAGATCTCCGTTTGGTACAGTTGCTTTTGCACAAGGTCTGTTTTATCCATTAGTTGTGTAGAGTGTGTGAAATTAGGGTTTAAGCATTTCTTCATTGAGTCAAAATACGAAATGAAGCAGTTTTCACTAGCTGAGGCTCTGTTTACTGGTCTAAAACTTTTGAAGTAAACTGTATGTTACTGGATTTGCTTTTATAAGGACCCAAAAGGTGCATTGAACTGTGGTTTAAGGTTTTCTCCAAATGTTTGTATGGATTTGTATGTTAAATTATGTATTTATCCAGCATGTTTCTGCATATGTTTTGTATTTCCCTATTTTGCTTTGTTTGATGGTGTTCTATCAATTGGTTGCAGCAAATTCAAAACCCAACAGCCATTATGATTGCAAGAACAGCTGTTGCCCAAGATGACATAAGCGGAGATGGCACCACGTCTACTGTCTTATTCATTGGGGAGCTTATGAAACAATCAGAGCGATACATTGATGAAGGTTGGTTCACAATTATCAGTAACCAATGATGGGACAATTTCTCTGATTCTTCATGGAAGGATAAAAGTCTTTAGATCCTTGCACCTTGTGGTTGTGCAAAATCCCTCTAGTCAATCTATTTATTTCGTTTCTTCCTTTTGTGTGTGTACCCTGACAATAGTGAGTTTATGCTTGTTACAGGGATGCATCCACGTGTCCTAGTTGATGGTTTTGAGATTGCCAAAAGAGCAACACTTCAATTTATTGAGAAGTTTAAAACTCCTGTGGTGATGGGCAATGAGCCTGACAAAGAGATTCTAAAAATGGTAGCTAGGACAACGTTGCGAACTAAGGTATTTCTGTTTCGTTTATTTTATTTATTTCTGTTAAAATGGTTTTAGGCATGGTTCGGTTTACTCCAGGTTTTCATACTGCTCAGATAAGTGGAATTGTTTTACACATTATATGTCATTTGAATCTGACATGTTCCATCGTGCAGTTATATGAAGCATTGGCGGATCAATTAACTGACATAGTTGTTAATTCGGTGAGTATTTGCGGCTTATTAAGAATGCTTGAAAGATTGCTATTTCACTTCCCCTTCCATTTTTCCGCTCGTTCTAGGGAATCTAGAATTTATAGTGCACCTCTTGCATCTTGATGTATGACAAATTACGGCTTTTCAAATGACAGGTTCTTTGCATCCGCAAACCTGAAGAATCCATTGATCTGTTCATGGTGGAGGTTATGCACATGCGACACAAGTTTGATGTTGACACACGCTTGGTATGTTAACATCTTATATTTTCTATTCTACTTTTCAGATACTCCTTATCTCTTGATGAATATTAAGAGGCAGTCCTATTGATAATGGGTTCTCAATCTTCTGCAAAGGTTCTGCAAATGTTTAAGCTTATAGATATATTTTTTGTTAGAGTTGCAATCTTATATGATAGGCTGTTTAGGGTTATGTAAAGTTGTATTTAATAATGTAGATGTAGGGAAGACCTCAGGAGATTGCATGTTATGTTATGAGCGTTACTGCTGGTAGTATAATGATTCTTTCTATTCATTTTTGTTTCTTAGTTCCAAGTTCTGATGTTGGAATTGTAAATCATGATATTGCCACCTATATCTAGATTAGGTTTTAATTACTGAGCATGGTGCAAGCTTCATAATAGTGTTTTATTTTATATTTTTTTACAGAATAGAAAAATCTGCTGTTACCCTGTGGTTTCTCAGTTCATTTATGTCCTCTTGTAGGTTGAGGGTCTTGTCCTTGATCATGGTTCTAGGCATCCTGATATGAAGCGACGGGCAGAGAATTGTTACATCTTGACAAGCAATGTATCTTTGGAGTACGAGAAAAGGTAAATATATAGAAGTTTTCTTTAAATAATTGTTACGTTTTGCCTTCAATATCTCTCTCTCTCTCTCTCTCTCTCTCTCTCTCATATACATAGTTATGTTAGGATGTCTTTGTGTAATTGTTTTTTATCCACTTGCATAAAATAGTAGAGATAGTGTTTACATGTGGAGATCTTCATTTCTTTCACAAACAATTGATCTGTGTGCAAGAACCATTGTGTTAAGAGTATTTTCGTTTGAAGTGTGCTTGCATTCACCTTTTATTAATACAATATTTAAAATTGAGATAGCAGTCTACTGGACAGCTGACTTCCTCTGCTTTTATGGAAATGATTTCCTGGTCATCATGAATTTGATGGTTTTCATCTCAGTGAAGTAAATTCAGGCTTTTTCTATTCAAATGCGGAACAGAGAGAAGCCATGGTTTTAGCTGAAAGGCGTCAGGTTGATGAAAGAGTTAGAAAAATCATTGAGCTGAAAAATAAGGTCGAGTGTTGTTATTCATGCTGTATGTGTGATATTGATGTAGCACCCTAGCATATCTTGCATTATGGATTCTGAAATATTTCCTTTACTTGGTGATTTGCAGGTTTGTTCTGGTAATGATAATAATTTTGTTGTTATCAATCAGAAGGGAATTGATCCCCCATCTTTGGACCTTCTCGCTAGGGCAGGGGTAAGTCATGGATCATTATTGTAGATTTTTTTTCCAATTATTTTTCAAAATATCTTTTTTAATTCCGATTTACCCCTGGTCAAATGCGCATGAATTGTTTTAAGTACTAAAGTATCTCTTTGGGAAAGAGATTGGAGACCCATCCAAAACTATATTCTAGTAATACACAAAGGAAAACAGTATTGAAAAACATCTTTGCAGCTTAATGGTTCTACATATTTTATCTTTAATAATCTCCACCTGTGGGGAGCATGCTGCAAGAAGGTCCATTACGCTCCAATGTTTTTGCCAAATTTATGGGGTTATGATTATGAGAGAGAGACTTGACATTATTGCATTGAAGTTATGATTTAACATCATTCATGTTTTTGATAAACCATTGGACATGTTGTGTACGCTATAAACATTTCAATATGAATTGGGAGGGCCAGATATACCTCACAGCTATTTTTATGATTTTTTGTTGTTTTCTTCTTTTTTGGTATTTTTTCTAATCCTGTGGTTTCGTAGATTATTGCCCTGAGAAGAGCAAAGAGGAGGAATATGGAAAGGTTGGTTTTGGCTTGTGGAGGGGAGGCTGTAAACTCAGTAGATGATTTAACTCCTGATTGCCTTGGTTGGGCTGGACTTGTATATGAGCATGTCCTTGGTGAAGAGAAGTATACATTTGTTGAAAATGTGAAGAACCCTCATTCTTGCACAATCTTAATCAAAGGTATTCCATTGGTAGTTTCACCTTATTTCCATATATAATTTTTGCTTTTTTTCTTTTGTTATTGATCTTGCACCCATCTCATGGTAATGCTTACATGATTTACATCGTTCTATTGCCTTTGGCAAGTCCTGTGGGGATGTAATCCTTATTGCCCACTTTTAATGGTGCAGGGCCTAATGACCATACAATCGCCCAGATTAAGGATGCTGTTCGTGATGGCCTGAGGGCAGTCAAAAATACAATTGAAGATGAAGCTGTCATCTTAGTAAGTTTGAGTTAGAAATTCCTAGGAAATCTTCTTATCATATTCTTATCTTTTTCCTTTTTGTTTTGAATTGTGCCACCTTCTCCATGTTGTAATGCTTTGGGCATAAGTTTGGTTTCTGGTATACATATCAGCTTGTGATTTTTGTATGTTTCTCATATGTGTCTCAGGGTGCTGGAGCTTTTGAAGTTGCAGCCAGACAACATTTAGTAAATGAAGTAAAGAAAACTGTTCAAGGGGTAATTGAATATTTCCCTAAATTTTCTCATAGGAAATACTTTTAAGCACCTCATCTTTTCTCAGCCTTTATCTCTCACACGTTGACATACTTGGAACAGCGAGCTCAACTTGGTGTTGAAGCTTTTGCTGATGCTCTCCTTGTGGTGCCCAAGACACTTGCTGAGAACTCTGGCCTTGACACGCAAGATGTGATAATTGCTCTTACGGTATACTTCTTTGAAAGTTCCTCACTTTTTCATTTGGTTAGCTTTCTTGAGGTGATCAAAAAATAATCACACATGTGGATGCTTGTTCAGGGAGAGCATGATCGGGGAAATGTCGTGGGATTAAATCACAACACTGGAGAACCCATTGACCCACAAATGGAGGGTATCTTTGACAACTACTCTGTAAAGCGACAAATTATAAACTCAGGGTACGGCGCATGATTGTAAAGAAGAATTCTTTATATTTTTCATTAATCCTTGATTATTTTTGTAAGCTTTTTCTGTTATATATATATATATATATATATATCACTGATATTCGTTTATTCTAATGCAGACCTGTAATTGCATCTCAATTGTTGTTGGTTGATGAAGTAATTCGTGCTGGGCGCAACATGCGGAAGCCAACTTAGCTTCAGCGGATGCTTTTGGCTAGCTGAAGCTTCTCTTTTTGTATTCAGTGCGGTGAATTGATTGAAAGTTGAAACTAGCTTCATGTGACTGACTGAGGGCAGTTGTGTTGGGGATTGTTAGAGGGAATCTGTATTTGCATCTGCTGTGGAATTTTCTTATGAATGAGGAATTTGTGTAATATACATCTAGTTTGGCTGAATGTTTCGAGGTGTTCTTATTTTCCACTCCTTTTTGAGGTTGAATCGGTTCAACCAGGGTGGAGAAGAATTATATGATTTTGGTTGGGCCTGTGTCCTATGAAATTTTAACTATTAATAGAATTTTCGAGTTATTGCTCTTTGTATTAATTATAGAATAATATACAACAAATAATGAATGGTTCCAATATTAATATCACCAATGCCAAGAGATAAATATGTGTGTGTGCGTGTGTATTTCACCATTCGAGGCTTTTCATAATTTAGCCATCCACTGGAGAACCCCATCTATAACACTTAATTAGCCATGAAACAATTTTGCTAGTGTGTGTTTTTACGTGTATTATAACTACATAATGCCAGTACTGGCCGGCAAAATTACTCAACGAAAATAGATCTGTATGAAATCTTTAGTAAATTCATAAGTTTCATTCGAAAATACTTCATACACTACTCCTGTTCATTGGCTGAACCACAGAAGAAAACAAAATCATGCAACTTAAGAATCTGTGAAAATATGAACCAAGTGATGATTAGCATATCCCTTTGAAGAAAAAAAATGTCGCCAGAATACGTGATAAAAAAATTCTACGACAATGCTCAGTTTCTGTTGAGAGGCACAAAGCTCAGACTTTTGCAGACACTTTCCCATCTTGTTGAAGCATGTAGTCTCTCTTCATTTCCTCCAAGACGTCATCGTTTGTGCTGCAAAAATCAAAACAATGTGAGGATGCTTGCATATTCAATTATTAATCCTAAAGGAAACAACATGTGTTGGCACAAGTATATATTTTCCTAAAGTCAACTCCAAATTCGTTCCTCTTACTCAAAGACTATAAGACAGAGGTTGATGCAATAACAAGCAACAAAACAACATGCCTCACATCACTGCATTGACCATTCCTTCAGCTCTCTCTTCATGCTCTCTCAAGCAAATGCAAGAACAGATGGGATACTTTTTTTTTCTGTCCTACAACTAGAACATTTTCCTGTCCACCTACAATTGAGTGCCAAAATCTAACATTTAAAACGTAGGTTCAAACAGATGGCATAAGAAGTTGCCCTTGATGCCTCTACTGTTCCTATGGCTTGTGAACATTGCGATATTACAAAGCTAACCAGTTGAAAATTGGACTGAAAAACAATCCATGGAACACAGTGCCTAGCATTCTAATCTCACAAAACATTCTGCAGTTTCCTATTTCTGGTCCCTACAAACGCTAGGAAAACCAAATGCAAACAACCCAAAAACTAAATGTAATTACAAAGTTTACAGAAAAATGATCGGAAATGAATAAGGCAGATAATGCCATATCTATCCAAACCACACAACTCAGCCCTAAGGCAGATAACGCCTTATGAACTCAAACACTGCCACCATCTTTGCAGCATCTCATGATCTACATACCACTCTACCATCTCAACTGCCTCCCACTATGTAAACTATGACTAATATGATACATTAGGTCCATTTCTAAAAAGCAAGTCAAGACTAAACCAACACATAACAGATAGAGAGCCAAATAATTTCTTGAGTTAATACCAAACTAGCAAGCATCACAAGTCTCGATAAAATCTGATCAATTTTGCAAGTCTGCTATTCTCGATCGAAAACGGCCGCAAGAGCAAATCAACATTCATACAGCCCAGTTTAAACAACACTACTGTTGCTAACATTTAACTATGTGATATTTATAAGACCCTGTTTTAAAATCTACAATAAAATTAAAATAAATTAATAATCTTTTCCATTTTTGTTGTGAAAAATGAAAGATCAGAGGGATATTAATAGACGAATTGGGGCTTACAATTGGTGAAGGCACTCGTTTAATTCCTTAGCTTGTTGCCGACACTGCCAAACCACAGAAATGGTTCTCCCATATGAGCATTCCGCATACTACAAACCAAATTACACAACTTTTGTAGCACAAAATGAAAAAGAAAAAAGAAAAATGATAGTTCTTGAGCCCTAGCGTTTGAGCTTTGAATACATACATACCTTCTTCTACCTTCTTTTTCACGTGATTCTCGCGCGCTTCCTGTATGTATCCCATTCAGCACTCTCTCTCTCTCTCTCTCTGATTCTCTCTAGCTCTTTGGGTCTCAGCCACTGAAGACGATGGACTTCGCTGCCGAGGATCGACTCGAGTATTGTTTCACAGTAACAAGAGTGGCTGATTGCTCACCGGCGGGTGACAATATTAAATGTCAAGGTCTAACTGCTAGGGCTTTGGGCTCCATGTGGGCTTTTCAAGCCCATATTCTCACTGCATATGGCCCAATCCTTTTTTTGGATTAAAAAATAAGTAATGGTAGATTATTGATTTATTTATTTTAAAACTATGGCTTTTGAATGGAACTTAAATACTAAAGTAAATATCATGTGATTTTTTTTTTTAATGAATGGTGTACTATGGGATTTAATTATTTTATTGTTCAATCAATTGGAGTATAGTTCAAGTACAATTTATGTATATATGTATTATTTTAAATAAAAATAAATTGGATACCAACTGAGCTAAGGAGACAATTTGTGGTGTGATTAGACTTGGTTGCCTTTTTTGGTGAAGCCCTTGTGATTGCCTTTGATTTGTTTGCTTGACTGCATCCTCGTATTAATTGGTTGGCTTAATTTGACAACATCCTCATATTAAGTTAGAGCTCATGAGCTTGTGTCTTGGATTTGCTTGATGATAACATACTAAAGTAGGAAATAAGAACCAATGCGGTGACAAAAGTATAAAATTATAAATATAATAAGTATGAAGAGAAGATACGGATTAGATCAGTTGGTCAGAACAATGTATTTGTCTTCTTACACAAAAGTTCGAGGCCGTATCCATAACGCAAAACATTTATATTTGTCAAAAATGCATATTTGACCAAATCAAGCGAGGCATTAAACTCGCATTTAAGCATGAAGGTGCTCTTCACCAAATGCCAATTATTGAACATTTGACTTAACTGAAAAGAAAAAAAAAAAAAAACCGTCACCAGCACGTTAAACGGTGCGTGAATCCTGTTCCCCCGCATTAAAAAAGATTAAGATTTTTGGACACCGTCAAGTCCGTCCGTCAGTCCCCACAAGACTCAACTACACAACTCACACAACTCACAACGCACGCAGCAGCAATAATATCAACGACACGACGATAATCAACGAAATGCAAGGTTAGGGATTGCGTTGACCGTCAACGCCAGCGTGGTCCCTCCAAAACAAAGACTCCACGGAATCTCCGCCACCCACCACGTGTCTCGTTCCCATTGGACCTACTTCTCTCCCCTTCCTCGTCGCGACCATTTTTAAGCCCCCAACCGGATTCCCATCTTCCATTTTACGAGCTTAGATTAGATCTTCTTCCTTGTGGACCAGAAAGGTACGAAGCTACTTCGCGAGGATTAGCTTAGGGTTCTTCTGATTTGATTTCAATTTTTATGTTTTCTTGTTGATCTACTGTGTTTATGATGACTGTTTGTCTGAGATCTAGGGTTACGATTTCTTTGTTCTTTTATTTGGGTGCTTATGGAGGTATGTTTTTGTGGTTGGATCTGGTTTGATTTAAGCTGGATATAGTTGGTTTGACCCAGGATCGATAAGATTTCTAGTTATGGCTTGTTTGGTTTATTCAATTTCAATATAAATGTGTTTTGAAAGAGAAAAAATTTATTAATTGGGGTTTAAAAAATAAAGCTTGGAAGCTACTATTTCACTAAGTTAGGAGTGAGATTATTGCTGTATACTGATTTTGTGATAATAGAATTAGAATTCCTGATCTGTTTGGTTGCCACGAAATTCATGTAGGACTGAAGTTAGCATTTAAATTTTTTATTGTAGGTTTTGATGAAGTTATTTTGTTTTTACCCAACTGTAGATAATTGAACTATGGTATGAGTGTAAACTTCCACAGATCTGAGTAACCATTTGATAGTCTGATTCTCTCTTTCTGGTTTTGTATGTAACTAATATCATTTATGCTGTGATGTTTGGTTCTCTAGTGGATTATGTGATATGTTTGTCCTTGTGTATGCATGTAGATCATGCATTTAATTCACGTTTGTTGAATTAATACCCAGGTTTGATAATTACTTACACATAGCAAAGATGTCGCCAACTGATTCTTCACGTGAGGACAATGTGTATATGGCCAAGTTGGCCGAACAGGCTGAACGCTATGAGGAAATGGTTGAATTTATGGAAAAAGTTGCAAAGACCGTTGATGTCGAGGAACTAACTGTGGAGGAAAGAAACCTCCTTTCTGTGGCCTATAAGAATGTGATTGGGGCTAGGAGAGCTTCATGGAGAATCATTTCTTCCATTGAGCAGAAGGAGGAAAGCAGGGGTAATGAGGATCATGTTGCAATTATCAAGGAATATAGGAGCAAGATCGAGACCGAGCTGAGCAAGATCTGTGATGGTATCTTGAATCTTCTTGAGTCACACCTCATTCCATCTGCCTCATCTGCTGAGTCCAAGGTCTTCTATTTGAAGATGAAAGGTGATTACCACAGGTATCTAGCTGAATTTAAGACTGGAGGCGAGAGAAAGGAAGCAGCTGAGAGCACCCTGTTGGCTTACAAGTCTGCTCAGGTTGGTTTCAGCTTGCCGTTCTGCCAGTTTCAGTTGTTAATTGTATTGTCATTTTTGTGGAGATCGTGAAGCTTATGTTGTGTTATTTGATGCAGGACATTGCCCTTGCTGAGCTGGCTCCAACCCACCCAATAAGGCTTGGGCTTGCACTTAACTTCTCAGTCTTTTACTATGAAATCCTTAACTCACCAGACCGTGCGTGCAATCTGGCAAAACAGGTTTATTTTCAAGGCTTTATACTTGCTACTTATTTTCTGTTTTTCTGTTTCTGTGTGTGATTGTTTACATGATTGCATCCCTTTGTTGTACTTTGCTTTGTCTGGTTATGTATCTTGAGAAACGCTGAATAGTTGTCCATTAAGCACTACAAGAAATGCTCTCTCAACCCCGAGAACACCGCCCATCAGATTTTACCACTTTCAGAATAATGATTAATGTATTTGGACAAGAGTTGGCATGTAGTGAATATACTTTCTGGATGTGAACTTTTGAATTTTCTATTTTGTAATTTTACTACATAGATTAACTATCATGTTCTATTTTGTATTTTGACATGCTCTATTATCTGTATGTGAATGCTGTGCATTATCTTACTTGAAGGGTTGTTTAGCCATTCTGGAGTTCACCATATGAAGTTATATGTATTTTACTTTCTGACATCAAGTTCTTAAATGAAATTGTCTTTACTCTTTGTAAAATGATGTTTGGTCTCACTTCAGGCTGAATTTAGGTTTTTGTAAGTGTTAAAATAAACGTCAGAATTGGATGTTTAATGTATTCCTTTTTACCTGCTCAGGCTTTCGATGAAGCAATTTCCGAGCTTGACACATTGGGTGAGGAATCATACAAGGACAGCACTTTGATCATGCAACTTCTCCGAGACAATCTGACACTCTGGACTTCCGATATCACGGTATCTCTCTCTCTCTCCCGCTCCCCCCGGTGCATAATTATGTATGAATGTTTATAATAGGATGTGTATGCATGTATTTACTGTGAACCCTTTGTTTGGCGCATTCATTTTTAAAATCCATTAAAGATTTTGAGTCCTTAAAGTTTGCTGCTCACTGGATATGATTGGTGATAGTTCTTGCATTTACTCCAAAAAGGGAGAAAAGCAATGGGACAATAAGATTGGGATGCATCACTATAATATTCTCATCTACCTGTGATGCAACCAATCATTTCACTTTTGCATTCATGCAAAGCCGTCTGATGACCTTTTCTTTTTCTTAAGTTCCCCCCATCAGTGTTTGTTTATTTTGGTCAACTAAAATGTAATTGTTTATCTGGTATTTTAGGATGATGCCGGGGATGAAATCAAGGAAGCATCAAAGCGTGAATCAGCTGAAGCTCAGCAGTAACAAGGCTCTGTTTCATAGGATTTGTATTGTGTACCTTTATCTTGGGACCTTTGTAATAGATGCCATGTGGTTGTAGCAGAATTTCTCTATGAACTTGACGATCTTGAGTGCTGCTGCACTCAAAGTTGAAATATTCCAGCTTAGGGTTGGAGTGTTCCAAGGGATCGCAAAATTGTTTTTCTTATAACTGGCGAGAAGAATTTGCTTCAGTGCTTTGCGTGCTGCGCTATATGATTTAGTGTTAAAAAGTAGTGGTTTAAAATGTTTCTTCTGATTTGCAATTTTGCGAAGATGTGATGCTGTGTTTTTGCCTCTATTGTAGTGTGTTTTGGTGCGATAGGATTGTGCCAAAGCTAAATCCGATTCACTTGACAAACAAGTGCCGGCAAGTACTTCGAATTTGAAAAGGAAAAGAAATTCAAATAAATTGTTTTTTCTTGGATTAAGTGGGGGGTTTTTTCCTTCTTTTGTTACTAGATTAAGGGGCCTCATGCCTAATTTGTTGGAGTTTAATTAATACTACTAAGCTCCTTCCATCTCCAACAGAAAATGATTGTAAGCTGTAAGCCAATGAAAAAGAGGAGATTTACTACTTCATTCAGGTTTTTCTCAAGTTTCTTTTCATATCAAATTAAAAAAGTTAAGGTTTTCTACTTTATTCAGGTTTATGATACAAAATTACGAGACAACTGTGTCCATTCGGAGATGAATATACGTTTCATAGTTGCATTATTAATACAAGAAAAACCGTGTTTCATAGTTGTATTAGGTCAACAATAGGCCAAAAAATTATAGGATCCCTTTACTACTTATGAAGAGGCATGGGTCAACAGAGTCTAGCTTAATGAGAAATGGCCTTGAAGACCAGAAGTTTCAAGTTCGAACCTCATAACATTTTAGTTGTGTGTGTGTGTGAGAAACTTCCCTCCTTTGTAGTTTAGACTATCGCTTGTATTGGGAAAAATAGAAAAAAAAAAGAGAAGAAGAAAGAAATGGGCTAGAGTTGCTGTTACAACGTTTGGAGTTATATTTCCATACTATCGCCTAACTAGAATGTTGCTCTTGCTCACTCTTGATTTTATAGGCCACAAGCTCTCGATCTTTGCTAGAAGGATGCGAAGAAATTTCGTTACAGGAAAACTTGGTTCCCAAGAGAGAATTGCAGTATGAGCAGGTGGTCCAAACAAGTTCCGGAAGATATCATGCAATCGAT